AGGTCAAGAGGCAGAGGCAACACTCAGCTGGGCTTGTCAGTGCCTGAAGGAGCTTGTCCTGTGGAGTTTGGCAGGACAGATCTGGTACAGAAGAGGCCTGGGAAGGATCTGGGGGTGTGTGGTGGTTTTGAGCAGACAGAAATAGGTAGTAGGTGTGAAAGCAGCAGGTTCTCGAGGTGTTGATTTGTGGAACTCTGCCATGGAGTGTGCTGGGAATCAGTGTGGGATGGTTCAAAGAGCAACAGGACAAGCCTGCAGAGGACAGACAGGGCCATCAGCAGCCACTTAATGGTTGAGGGCAATCTCTGGCTCAGATGGCCCTAAACTCCTACTTCCCAATGCCAGATGTTGGACTGATGTGGGCCATGAACATCTTCAGGAGGGAGAGCAGAGCCTGTAGCCTACAGGGGCTGAAGCTTTGTTGTCTAAAAAAAAAAAAAAATAATTCACCCAGCAAAAACTGTGCAGGCGGCTCCTTGTGGTGCAGGGAACCTGCCTGCTAGAGCTGGGCCAGATCTGCTGATTTACTCCCACAAAATGGAGCACGAGCTGCACCACAAGGACTCGCTGCTCTAATTTACGAAATGCATCTGCGACCAGTTCTTTTTTTGTTGCCAGCCCAAAGGCCTGTGACCACCACCAGCATGACAAATGTCACTGCTCTGTGTGAAGGTGCTCACTGCTCCACAGCTATTATCCAAAGGTTAATTAAGTATATTAGAACTGTCTGGATCTCAAGCATTCTCCTCGCTTAAAACAAAGCAGAGGGCAGGTCTCTGGTGAAGGAAAACTCTCAGGATGGCACTGAGGTTGTTGGGCATGGGAGAAGCAAATGCCACTGCCTGCCCCTTCCTTGAGACCTCTGCATCCCAAAGGAGTCTGGCTTTACACGTGGTCTGGGGCCACGGGAAGCAGCCCAGGCCCACTGCAGGGTCAGCACATCTCATGGCAAAGCAGGAGGTGGCAAAACACCTGGGGGGCTGCAAAGCCCCAGGACGTGGGATGCTGTTTCTGGACCCCATCCTCAGGATATCAGCTCGAGGGAGGCTGTGGCCTCCCTGCTCCTGCAGGGAGGTGAAATGAGTTGAGAGGTCTCAGCCCTGATCCTGGGTGGCACAGAGGGATATTTGCTGCCGGCCAAGAACAGATTTGGGTTGAGCTGCAGCTTTGGGGAAGGGGTCAGGCGCTCCAGCCAAAGGGGGGAGAGAGCTGGATGCCTGGCTGGCCCTGGGGCAGAGCTCTGTGGCTGCTGGGCTGGGACATTGACCTGTGTCCCACCGGGCAGGGACATCCCCCTCCCGGCCGGGAGTGCTGCCCCCACCTCTCCTCCGGCCCATCTGCAGCTCCTCCTCTGCCAGCTCAGCCAAAGGCAGCTCCACCACGGGGAGCGACTGCCAGGAGGCTTCAGCGAGCAAACACTTCGCAGCAAAGTGCAACACAACGTTAAATCACAGCTAAAAATATTCCCCGAGAGCTTTATTAGTAAATGCCACAGTTGGTGGAGTTTGGTGGGGTTTTTTTTCCCCTTCTGCTGCAAAATGTTTCAGCTCTAGGAACAGCACTTGACTAAATTGCCTCTAAATCTCCACCACCTCCGAGGGCTGGGCTCCACAGCACCAGCCCTGCTTAGGAGGATGCCATAAATGCAACTGTCTTGTTACCTTGGGGTTAGCGTGAAAACCTCGTCCTACTGCAAGTCTGGGTTAAAACAAACAGGCTCCTGGGTGGTTTTTATCTAAACGATGGGTTTTTACAGTTACATGATGAGCAACTGCTGTAAATCTCAGAATGTTTTGGGTTGGAAGGGACCTTAAAGATGATCTAGTCCCACCCCCTGCCATGGGCAGGGACACCTCCCACTAGCCCAGGTTGCTCCAAGTCCTGTCCAGCCACAGCTTCTCTGGGCAAGCTGTGCCAGGGCCTCACCACCTTCCCAGGGAAGGATTTCTTCCCAATATCTAATCCAAATCTCTCCTCTCTTAGTTTAAAACCATCCTCCCTTGACCCGTCACTGTCTGCCGCTGTTAAAAGTTGCTCTCCATCCTTTTATAAACCCCCTTCAGGTACTGGAAGGCTTCATTGTCTCCACAGAGCCTTCTTGTCTCCAGGCTAAACAACCCCAGCTCCTGCAAGCAGGTTTTCATGCAGCACTTTTCCTTGGGGTTTAGCTGATGTGGGGTTTGGGTTCTGTTGTTCCATATCTCAGAAATGGGGAGCCCTGAATAACCCTTGGCACTGGTCATGGAGCTGAGGGCCACTTCTTCAGGTCCTTCCCATCCCACAGAAACTGCTGCCAGCCCCAGTAGCACCACCCACACCTTTTGGCTCTATCTCTGCTATGGATAAAAAAAAAAAAAAACCACCAAATCCTGATACCCTAACGCTGAATGGAAAAAGGTGTGGGGCAAGGTGTGGATGGAACTGCATGATCCCCCTCCATCATCCTTTGGCTGCTCCATGGGTGGCTCCTGCCTGGGAGCAGCGACGCTGCCTTGATCTTCAGAGGAGTCAGGGGATGGGGCTGTGGGAACACAGCACAGATCCCGGCTCTGTTTTGGCTGGAAAAGATCCCTGCTGGCCCAGGAATCATGTGTTGTTTTTAATGACTCCATCACCAAAGGAAAATCTCCAGTGGCGGGTTTTTCCCCCTTGTGCCCAGCTCATTACCAGAAGGATCTCTGCCGCTGGCTGCCGGGCTGTGTGAGCAGGACGCTGCCGAACAAGCCAGCCTTTCTCTCCCCAGTATAGAAGGCGCTTTGATAAACCCAGGAAACCCTCAGCCAGCAGCAAGGGGCTTTCTGGAAACCCAGCACTTGCTGCCTGTGGGCACAGCCGCAGGCCTGGCACCTCCAGCCCCGGGGCAGGCGCTCCCAGCCAGCCCTGCCCAGCAGGGCCGTGTGCCCGGCACTCCCCGCACGGTGTGTCAGTGTGGCCTCTCCCACCGCTGCCCGACCTGCTCCCTGCAAAAATCCGCAGGTGGATGTGGGGAAGTGGGGGCAGATCCCAGCCAGGAGCTGGTTGCAGCCCCTCTCCTCACGGAGACGTGCGAAACGCCGCGGCTCTCGCCCGCGGGGTGCAGCTCAGAGGGTGCCTCTTTGGATGAGCAGCTCTGCAGAAAAGTGTTCTTGCTTTCCTTTTTTTGCTCCTTAACACTTTGGCTCGAGGGCTGTTGTTCGTAACTTGTCAAGATCTTGGCATCGGCGGCTGATTTGTCATCCGCCATAAAATGGAGGATGAGCATCTTCGGTTCAGAAGTGGGCCAAGGGAGATGACAGCTCAAAGCAAAATATGCTTCATCTCGAGTTTTCTCTGAGGGCCTCAGCTCCCGGGGAAAGCAGCGGACATTTGGGATCTGAGTTGCTTCACAGCGTTCTGGGTAAGAGCCCTTTGCCTGCTCTGCGTTTGCGGCAGCAGAGCTGGGTGCACATTAACCTTCTGGCTGCCAGAGGGAGTTGTGCCTGCCTGACGCTGTCACCAACCTCCCCTGTTCACCTTCCCCCAGCCTGGCACAGTGGAAGCTCCTGAGATACACAAATGCCACCAAAATGCCATTTTTCATGGAATTCTACCAGCAACCTCCTTACAACCCAACGAGCTGCAGCATGAGGGGTGTGCCTTGGCAGGCTGAAGTTTTGAAGATGAATTATTAATCCTGCCAATGCCGAGCTGCCCACACCCCCCCGGTGCTGCTCTCCCCTGCTCCGGTTCCTGTCCAGCAGTGCATCCGGCGCCTGTTCCCGTGGTCCAGGCGGCCCCAAAGCAGCCACAAACTACGGGAAAAAGCATCTTAATCCACGGGTATTTTATCACTCCGACACCACCACGAGGCAGCAAGAACTCCAGTTTTCAGCGATAAAATTAAAGCTCCCTGCAAGTAGCTGAATCACTGAGCATGGAGGCCCAGGCCCTGCACCTTTGGGGGTGTGGGCCCACCTGCAGCCTGCCCACAGGGGCACCCCGGGTGGGGGCTCCAGCAAGGGGGCTTCCAAACACGGAGGGGGGGGCCCAAATCCCAAGGAAGGCACCAGGCTGGGGGCACACACGTGACAGGTGACACCAGGGTTGTGGCCTGCTCAGCGCTGTCCCCTCTGCACCCCAAGCCTCAGACTGGGCTGCAGCCCCCCCGGAGCCCCCCCCGTTCCCCAGCCAGGGGGTGATGAGCCCTGCCCTGCACTGGCTGTAGGTGCACGGGCAACGGCGAGCCCAGTTCATCGCCCACAGTGATGTAAAGATGATGGATCCTCCCTCTCTGAGACGCACGGATGTGAAGTGATGCCCCCCGCCCCCACGTAAGGGTGCAAAGCAGCCAGGTACCCCCTGTGCCGTGCCGGAATGCAAAGGGACAGCTTTGTGACCCCCTCCCCATCGCCAGGGCGCAGAGAGGCCCAACGTGCCAAGTGCTTTGGGCATCCCTCCCTCCCGCCATGGAAACGTGCAGAGCAGCCTGACCCCCTCCCCTGCGCGCAAAGGTGCGAAACGCCGGAGGATTCCCCGCCCCCGCACCGTGGACAGCCGCAAAGGGCAGGGACCCCCCGCGCAAGGATGCGGAGCGGCTTGGACAGCCCCCTCCCAGCGCAAGGATGGGAAGGGAAGGAGGGCAGCCCCCCACCCCCTGCGCGGCCGCAAAGCTGGGGGGAACCCCCTGCAATCCGGGCACGCAGAGCGGCGCGCCCCCTCCCCGCAAAGATGCAAAGGGTGGAAGACCCCACACACACACACACTGCAAGGATGCGAAGGGATGGATCCCTTCCCCCTCAAACGCAGGGATGCAAAGCGGCAAAGGATCACCCACCCGCCCATGCGAGGATGCAGAACCGTGGGGGATCCCCTCCACTCAAAGATGACCCCCCAAAAAGGATGCAAAGCCACGGGGGACCCCAATAAAAAGACTGTAAAGCGCCTCCCCCATGCGGTGTCCCCTCGCCGCAACCTCACGCACGGGGGGAAGGGGACCCCCCACTTTGCGGGTGCCGCGTCATCCCCGCACCCGCTGTGCTCACCTCCTCCGGGCTGGGGGGCCGCGCCGTGCGGCGGCGGGGCCGTGCGGGGCCGTGCGGGGCCGTGCGGGGCTGCTGCGGCCGCCGCCGCCGCCGGCGCTGCCCTCGCCCCGCTCCGCTCCGCTCCCCGCGCTGCCCGCGCCGCTCCGCAGTGCGCGCACGGCGCATGTGCCCCCTCCGCCACCGCCCCCGCCCCGCTCCGCCCCGCACGGCCCCGCACGGCCGCCCCGGGGCTCCCCGAGCCGCCCCGCACCCCGCCTCGCAACTTCGGGGGCTTCGCTTTATGGGTTTCTCTCTTTTTTTGTTGGTTGGTTGGTCGGTCGATTTTTTTTTTTTTTAATATATAAATACCTAATTTCCCATATCTTTTCATCCCTTTGCCATGAGCTGCGGGTTTAGCCCATCTGGCTGGAAATTCTTCAACTGGCGAGATCAGGAGCAGAAAGGAGGCTCCGGTGAGAAGGGGAGCGCTTTGGGCATCGTCTTCTCTGCGTTTGACATCAGCACCACCTCCTCCGTGCTTCTCCTGCAGCCTGGGTCTGTCTCCCCGTGGATCAGAACTGTGCCAGGGTGACGATCTGGGGGTTTGCTGAAGCCCAAGAAGAACATCGTCCTCCCCAGCTTGTCACTGTCACCAGCCACTGTTGCACGAGAATTTTAGGTTCTCTCCGTGGCCACTTCACGGAGCTGCTCCAAGGGCTGGAACCCCTCCTGCTCTGGAGACACGCTGGGAGGGCTGGGGGTGTTCACCTGGAGAAGAGAAGGCTCCAGGGAGACCTGAGAGCCCCTTCCAGGGCCTAAAGGGGCTCCGAGAAAGATGGTGACAAACCTGTTGTGACAGGGCAAGAGGTGATGGGTTTAAAATAAAAAGGGGTCTATTTAGACTAGATGTAAGGAAGAAGGGTTTTTGCAATGCGGGTGGGGAGGTCCTGGCACAGGTTGCCCAGAGAAGCTGTGGCTGCCCCATCCCTGGAAGTGTCCAAGGCCAGGTTGGACAGGGCTTGGAGCAATGTGGGATAGTGGAAGGTGTCCCTGCCCATGGCAGGGGGGTGGACAACATGACCTTTATAGGTCCCCTTCAACTCAAACTACTTTATGTTTCTGTGCCCCAGAGCCAGCACTGGACCACACTGAGATGCTATTTGGGCTTCATCTTAATGTTTGGGGGTCTCATCTCTTTGTTTGGGGTTGGAGGTCTGATGCTGCTACCTCTGAAAGACCCCCCCTCTTTCCATAGCCCATGACTGCTCCTTGGTCTCAGACCAGGTCAAAGCCTTCTACTGGAGCTGACAAAACCCAAGCTTGGGTGTCATAGAATCCTACAATGGTTTGGGTTGGAAGTGACCTTAGAGACCACCCAGTTCCAATGCCCCTACCATGGTCAGGGACACCTTCTACTTAGACCCCACCTCAGGGCTCTGCCCTTCTCAGCCCACTTCAGCCCACACAAGCCTGTTTCCTGGGCTCTGTCCACACTCCAGCCCCAGTGACTGGCAGGGGTTTTCCAGGCTGGCTGAGGAGTGACATGAATGACTCGCTCAGGGGCTGAGACTATGGGAAAACCACAAGGCTCTGCCCACGACAGCTGTGCATCCGTGCCAGGGATGCCAGCAGAGCCAGGCCAGGCTCCAGTGACCCCATAGCCCTCCCTCATGCCCCCACCCAGCCAGGGCAGCCAAGGGCAGCTCCAGGCTGGAGGCTGGTGGTACAAAAGAGCAGGGCACCCACAGAAATAGCACCTCAAATCCTGGAGTCAGTTTTGGGTCCCTCACTACAAAAAAAATATACTGAGGGGCTGAAGAACTTCCAGAGAAGGAAATGGGGCTGAAGAAGGGTCTGGAGCAGCTGAGGGAGCTGGGGGGGCTCAACCTGGAGAAAAGGAGGCTCAGGGGGGACCTTCTGGCTCTGCAACTCCCTGACAGGAGGGGGGAGCTGGGGGGGGCGTGTCGGGTTGGGCTCTGCTCCCAGGGAACAGGGACAAGGAGGAGAGGAAATGGCATCAAGTTCTGTCAGGGAAGGCTTAGGTTGGATATTGGGGAAAATTTCTTCACTGAAAGGGCTGTCCAGGCCTGGCACAGCTGGCCAGGGCGGTGGTGGAGTCACCATCCCTGGAGGGGTTTAAAAGATCTGTAGGTGTGGCACTTGTACATGGGTTAGTGGTGGGCTTGGCAGTGCTGGGGAATGGTTGGACTCAATGATCTTAAAGGGCTTTTCCACCCCAAACAATTCCCCGATTCTGTGATTGCTGTGAATCCAGCCGCTGCTAGAGGGCAGAGTGAGCCAGGCGAGACAGGTGGCTTTAGCTGTGCGGGAGCAGGGATGCGGGAAACGTGTTTGCTTCCTCTTTCCCTTCCACTGAGCCATGTGGGGGAAGAGCTTCAGCAGCACGAGGGATAATCTGTGACATGGTTTGAGGTTTGGAGTGAGATGACTCACGCTTTGATTTCTTTACGGAGCGCTCCGGGGCTGGATTAAGCCGTGTTTGTGAGGAAGGCGCCGCACGGCAGCGCAGAGGCAGCGGGGCTGAGCTCCGCGTTCCCAGCACATCAGGGCTGCACCCCCCGCCCTGAGCGACTGCCGCCGCTCCCGGGGCTTGTCAGGAACGGAAAACAGGCCTGGATGAATGGCCAGGGCATCCCAAAGGGGACAGCTGCCATCTCCCAACGACTCACGAGGCTGGAACTTGGGGTCTGGCACAAGGCTGTGTCCCAGCCCAGTGCCTGTCCCTTTTGCAGGCAGTGGGGTAAGGGCAGCTCTGATGTGCTCAGGCAGGTCTGCAGCTCACGCCAGCCCCGGCTGCTGCACCCTCACACCAACCCCGCCTGCGGGTGTCCCAGGGACCTTCCTCGTGCAGCCAGGGCCGCGTAGCCACTCAGGGATCCTTTGGATTCATCCTGGACTTCCTTGGCCAGCTGCGCTGTCCCAGTGCTGGGGCATGAACTGATGTTACAAGAGGTGTTCTCATCTCAAAATCTGAAGTAAAAGTTTTCCCTGTCCCTGCCAGAGCCAGCAGTGCAGCTGTCCGGGTGAGACAGGCTGGTGCTCCACCCAGGACCATCACAGCCTGTGTCAGCACCACCTCGTCCCGGGGACAGCGATCTGGGGGACTCACCTTTGGCCGGGAGGTGTGAGCAGCCCCTCTGCCGTGGCATGCAGTGCCGAGGTGGGAGCTGCCCGGCCCTGCCTGCAGTGCCCAGGTGAGAGCTGCCTGGCCCTGCCTGCAGCCCTCGGTCACCTCCAGCCCTTGCTTGGAGCAGCTCCGGGGCTCTCTGTGCTGCCAGAGCTGGCAGGAGCAGGTCAGCACATCACAAACCCTCAAACTGCCAGGAGCAAACCCAGGGGGTGTCACAACCACCTCGGGCTTCAGCCCCAGAAGCTCCCAGACCGTGCCCTGCGTTCCTGGGTGAACGCTCTCAGAGTCCCCATGCAGGAGCTTGGAGGGCATGGACAGCGAGGGGGCAGCGTGCCTGGGGTGCTGCACACAGCCTGGACATCTCTGCATGCTGAGGAGCTGGGCTGGGAAGGGCAGGAGCTGCTCCTGGAGCAGGCAGACAGGGAGCATCAGCCCCAGGCTGGTGTGCCGGGACTTTGTGTGTCTCACTGCAGCCTCAGGGGGTGGCTGAGCCGTGTGCTAGGGGACATTTTGGCAGATGGTCTGTCCACAGGCGGCCCTTGCAGAGCTTCTCTGCATCTTTACCAGCTACAGATTAGGAATTTCTCTGCCCAGGGCTGTGGAAGGGGATGCTTTGTGTCTGGTCCCTGCCATTGCCAGGGCAGGGTGCAGGCAGGCAGCAGCACCCGCAGACCTGAGCAGCCCCCTCAGCCCAGAACCAACCTCTGCCTAGGCTCTTCCCAGCTCTGTGCACAGCAGATATGGGGTTTTATCCAAGTTTTTTTCCCTGTCCCACTTGCAGGCCGGGTCTCAGATCAGCAGTGCCCTCCTGCTCGAGCTCAGGGGCATGAACCAGCTGCACCAAAGCTTCTCTGCTCCCAGAGCCACTGGCCCTGGAGAGGTTTGGGCTGGCTTTGCCCTGGGCCACGGGGCAGGATCCTGCAGGCCTTCTGGCCATGCAGCTCCTGGAGATGTTCTGGGCTTGCCAAGAGCAGCGTGGGTCCAAATTCATGCGGTGCTGGAGCTGGGCTGTGCCACCCACCCTCCAAAGCTGATGGGGAATTCACTCTGTCCCCGGGAAGTTCACTCTGTCCCCAGATAAACTATGCAAGTATCAACTGCTACCAGTAAATTAACGAACCATGGGAAAAGCTTATCCTGGGGGCACATCACAAACTTTTTCACCGGTGATGCCCCGAACCCCTTGGGGTTTTAATCAGCTTGGAGTAAACAATGGTCCCCACATCAGTGGCACTGTGGACAGACAAGGCACAGTGGCACCCAGGTGAGCGCCCAGCCCCAAACCTCACGACTCCAACAACCCTCCCCTCTGTCCCATTCAGCTCAGCAAACCCAGTGCCGTGGAGTTGGGTGCCAGGAGGCTGCCAGAACGTGGCTGCTCTTTGGTGGGGGTTGCAGCCCCCCAGCTGGCTCAGGAGGCAGGGCCAGGTGCTGTGCCACCGCCGCACGCGCTCGCCTCCCGCGCAGGCTGCTGCGAGGGCTGAGGTAATCCTGGGTAATTCCTGACTTCCATGGAAATGCCTCCAGGCTGCGATGATTATCGCTGTAATTAGCCTCTCTGATTTTTCTTGGTGTTCTATAAAATATTAATTTACAGCTGGATCCTTGCCTCCTTTGTGTGCCGGCTTGAGCTCTTCCCATCAGCAGAGCATCTCTGGCACCTCGCACCGGGGTCCTGTGGGGTTATGCAGCAGAGCTGGGGCGGCCACTGGCGGCTGGATCGTGGTTGGGGTGGGTGGCTCTGGGCAGGAACTTCCACTTCCTCACAGGAACATGCCCTTGGAGCTCCTATTTCAAAGGAAATATGGAAAACCAGTGAAGTGCTCTCAGAAAATGCCATTCACACCTCTTCCCCTGGGTGGCTGGAGGTGAGCAGGCGGCTGTACTGCTCCAGAAGCCCTTTAATACAACATAGCTCCATCCCATTTCTCTATTTGGGACTGGAGGAGTGTTTTTGCTCAACTGCATGGGAAGTCAGGTGAGGCAGCAGCCAGACCACATTTCCCACCCAGCCTGAAGCCACCAGAGTGAACACGGTGCTGTGATTTCCACTGCCAAAACAAAGCAGGACTCAGTGGCACATGGTGCCCTGAAAACCCACTACTCACACCAGCATTTTTAGATTGTCTCATTTTTCAGCCAAATTAAGTAGAATCCACTTGAATCTCACTAACAAGGTGGAAAAGGCCATCTCTGATACTTGTGATCCCAATCACTGGGAAGGTCAGGCAGAGAAAGGATCTTACAGTGTGCTGGTCCTCTCACTGCTTGTCCCTGAGACAAACTTTGGGCTTCAGACTCTGCATCCCAGCATCCCTGCCAGTGAGTGACTGCTACCATGTCCCTTAGGCTGCCCAGAGCTGCCACTCCTCTGGGATAGTGTATTTTTTGGCTCTGTCAGGCCAGATGTAACAACTGTCTGAACTACAACTAAATCTAAAGACAGCAGCACTGCTGATGACAGGAAGGGGTTGTGAATGTCTCTGCTGGGAGCCACTCACCGCTGGAGATGTTTTCCCAGAGCTTTGGGCCCAGCAGCAGATGCTGTCAGCAACATTTCGTCCTCAGGACAACCCTACATGTCCCTGTGCCACCGTACAACACCCACCTAAACAAAGCCAGGTTGCAAAGCTGCCAGGAGTTTGTTAGTTTGTTACTTTCCTTCGAGGCCACATCCCACCACAATGCTCCCCAAGGTGTCCGCAGTGATATTTCCATCCAGTCACTCCTCCCCTTCCACAAGGCCAAACCCACACATCTTGTAGGTGCCAGTCCCTTTGGCAGAGGCTCTGGCACCACATTTTGGAGACAAGCAGACACTGCTGACAGCCACACTTTGCCCAGGTGGACGAGGTGCTGCCTGCCAGCTCTCTCTCTGGAGAGCCTGGCTGTGCCACTGCCATCCACTGCATCCCTTACTGAGCCAGCAGACCGGGGGCTCTGAGGAAAACCACGTCACAGACACAGAAGGGTGTTTTATCATTGAGTTCAACCAGGGAAGAGCAGCTTTATCTGTCTTTCCTCAGTGTTCTGTTCATCTTGTGGTTATGGAGCTGCAGAACCTCTGGGTAGGATGTCCCATGTTCTTACAACAGGCAGAGCCGTTCCTGCCTGATGCTGCCAGAGCTTTCCAGGCTGCATCTCCCTCCTGGATGAAACCTCCATCACCTCATACAGCCTTTAACACCCAATTTTTTTCAGCTCATTCTCTGTTTTTACCCGCCAGTCCCACTGGTATTGTCTGGTCCAGCCCAGTGATGCCTGGGCCAGAAAATGCTCTGTCCAGTCAGTGTGCAGCCACCATCCAGGAGGCAGCCAACATCCAGGAGAGAGGCTGCTCCCTGGGTTTCGTGTCTGGTTCAAGGTCCACAGGAATATTAACGTCCTGCTTCTCACTCTGGGAGAGCCTCTGCACTCCAGAGGGGAGGTCTCTATGACATGGTGTGTGCCATGGCAAAGGGCTCTCCCACCTCTCTTGCTGCTGTTTTTAATCCAGCCCCATCTCTGCTGCACTGGGGAATTAGTATTTTGGGGAGCAGCTTCCCTGTGCACTGCCTGGGGTACCCCAAACCCCTTCCCTCTCAGTTTTGCTGGGTCTTACCAAAATAAAACCAGCAGGCCAGCAACCTCAGCTGGCTTTGTGTTTGATATGGATATTAAAATTCAGCTGCTTGTTGTGTCGGCAGAGGGCAGTGGAAGATGCTTCCAAACCTCCTAAGCCTCCCCCGGCCGCGCCGTGGAGATGGGGATCCGGGGAGGAGACTCCACCAGAGAGGAAGGGAAATAAAAATGCAGTTCCTCCAGCAGCGAGGCTGGAGCTGACCTGAGCGAGGCGTTCCCGCCGGGCACCCCGCCGGGGACGGCGATTCGGGCTCATCCATCGGCGCGGCGGCGAAGCGGGAGGGCGAGGGGAGGAAGCCGCATCTCCCATCGGTGCATCCCTGTGGCTCGGGTCTTGCCAAGGCTCACACAGAGCCGGGGAGAACCACCGCTCCTCATCCTCCGGGTGGGAGGAAGCGGATGGCGATGGGGCTGGCAGTGATTTACGGTCGGGAGAAGGCGGGCAGGCCGAGGAGAGGTTTTCCCGGCCGTAGCCGTGTCCCAGAGGGGCTTCACCGAGCCCGGCGAGCCGCTGCACGTAGACAAACCCTTCCCAGCCCGCAGCCCGGGGCCGGGCGCTGCTCTGCCACGGCGGGAGAGGAGGGGGACGGTGCGGCCCTGCTGCCGCCTCCCTGCCGGCTCCGCACCCTGCGCTGTAATTAATACCCCTGGAGGTAAAGAGCGAGCAGCGGGAGGTTGGGATGTATTATTTTACTCTGATAGGAATCTGACACCGACACAGCCATTAGGGGAAAGAAAGAATAATAACTCAGACTTGGCATATACGAAAGTCTAAATACCTTCAGCGTGTGAAAAGACAGGCTTTAATATATTGGTGGGTTTGTAATTATTTATTGAAAGAAGACAAAAGGCAGAGCTTGCTGCAGAACAAGGCGGAGGCGAGAGAACAGCTCCCAAAAGCACCGGGTTTGGGTGGCCTCTGCTCTCCCGCCCGGAGAAGGCAGCGTGGGTTGACCCGTGGCCCTGAGAACATCCCCCCGCCGGAGCGAAGCTGGCGGCTCCCCGCAGCAAGAACCTGGGTTGGTGTTACGAAAACGCTCTCCAAACTTGGCAGGGGATGCCAAAAATCCCACCGGGAAACCCGGCACGGAAGGAAACACATCCCCTCGCCGGGTGTTTTGCCACCTGCTCGGGCGGCTCCCGGGGCTTTGTTGCGGGGCGGAGGGGAGCGGCAGCATCACCCGCCTCGGCCATCAAAAGCCCCCCTCGCCGCGCCCGCGGGATGCTCCCGCAGCCCGGGGCGGGGGCTCCGCGGGGCCGGGGGGCAGCGGCGGCTCCCCCCATCCCTCCTGGCACCCCCGCGCCCGCCGGGCCCCTCGGGGGCGGCGCTGGCGGGGACCCGCCCTGGCCGGGCCCCGCCGCAGGATGCGGCGGCGGAGGCGGTGCGGCGGCTCGGCGGGCGATGCGGGGCCGCGGCCGGGCCCGGGCCACCGTGAGCCCCGCGGGGGGCGGGAGGGGGCGCAGGGCGGGCGGCCCCGCCGCAGGTAGGGACGCGGGGGCCGAGCGGCGCGATGGAGGAGGAGGAGGAGGATGGAGGCGGTGGAGGGGAGGCGGGGAGTGAGGCTGCGGCAGGAGGGGGCGGGCGGGGGCCGGCCGGGGGCGGCGGGCATGTGGGACCGGCTGCGGGGCAGTCGGGCGGCGGGCGGCGGCCGGAGCGCGGCCGCGATGGCGCAACGCGACGAGAAGGTGCCGGCGGCGGAGGGAGAGAGCGAGCCCGGGGCCGGGGCCGGGGCCGGGGCCGGGGCCGCCACTGAGGCTGACACTGAGACTGGGACGGGGACTAGGACTGAGCAGGGGCCGAGCGGGGCCGCCGCACCCTTCCAGCCCCCCGAAGGAGGCTTCGGCTGGGTGGTGGTCTTCGCCGCCGCCTGGTGCAACGGCTCCATCTTCGGCATCCACAACTCCTTCGGGATCCTCTACATGATGCTGCAGAGTGACCTGGGCGAGGGGGAGAAGGACCCGGCGCTGGAGTTTAAAACAGGTACGGCTCCATGGCCCCTTCCCTGGGCCGGGAAGGGCGGGCCGGGGGTGCCCGAGCGGAGCGGGAAGGTGCGGGGAAGGTGCGGCGCCGCGGCCGGCTCTGCCTCCTAGAGCTAGAAGCTCCTTCTCGGCTGTGTTGAACCGCGATTACTCCCTGCCCCCTCTATCCTCGTAGCCGTGGCTATATTTATCTCCGGCAGCATCATGTGTTTCTAAGCTCCGATGTACTCAATTAAAAGTAATTCGGCGAAAAGCACGCCCTTAGCCTGTCCTGCCGGTGTGTCTTGGGGTAAGGAGAGCAGCGCTGGTGAATCAGCCGCTGGGTGTGAGCCACCCCCTCTAGTTTTCATTATTATTACTGTATTTTATGGGTTTTCAAGCTTTGTGTCTGTCTGCCTTATTGGCCAGGGGTGGCTGCAGGAGAGCATCTGCCTCGCCAACACGCTCCCTCCGCGCGAATCCATTCAGTGGGAACGCCGGCGGAGGGCAGGGCTGGCAACGCTGCCTGCGCGGTCACACCGAGGGTGGCGCGGGGTCTCCAGCACTTAACATCCCTTAAAAGCAAGATCCACCGACTGCATCTAATCGCGTGGTTTGGTGGGACCTACGGGCTTGGCCAGGATGCAGGCTGGGTAGTGTTAACGTGGAGAAAAGGAACGCCTCTTGCTGCCAAGACCCCACTGCTGAAGTAGACTTGGCGGAGGGACACCACCCTACCGGCGTGCTGGTCCCAGCCGGACACCGGTGTGGGGAGGCCCAGCCTTGTCCCAGGTCCTGCTGTCCTCCCCAGAAGATCCCATCCATGGCTGCGATGGACACCCATGGCCCACCTTGCTTTTATCTGGCGGGTGGAGACAAGCACTTGGCATTGAGGGAGCTTGCTTGTGGTGCTGTCCTGACTCCAGAGGGGACGTGGGCAGCAGCCAGAAACCAAACCAGGCGTGTATTGCAGAGAGAGGAGTGTCGGGGTGGGTGAGAACCTTAAAGCCTTTTTTTGGGGACCAGCGTTGCCTGCGCTCCCTCCCTTGGCCGACGCGTGACTGGTGAGCGCGTGGTGAGCGCGCCAGGATGAAGTTCATTACAAGATACACCACATCTACAGATCACCAATTAACTCTGTGATACTGTTACTAGGGAAGCGCTGTGACCCTGTAATAACGGGCAGTAACGGGGTGCGCCGAGAGCTGTGGCTGTGTGGCCGGTTGTAATTAGGGTGATTGATGGGCTGTGAGTGTGTGTGTGTGCACGCGTGTGATGCCCAGGAAGCTCATCGTGTAGCTGGCTGTTTCCTCCTCCCTGTGATCGTATCTAGAAAGCCTAAGGCAGAGCTCTAAAGGTACAAGCAGTAACAAAAGAAATTAAATACTGCGAGTTCTGGTGGTTTAAAGGCTCTGTGCCCAAGACAGAGGCTGTAGGAGTCAGCATCTGCCTCTTGCTCCTGCCACCTATTTTATTTAAGGCTATGACCGCACAGAGGCCTTGAAAAAGAAAGGCGTGTGGGTGTGTGAGGTGAACCCGGGCTCGGTAATTAAATTGCCTGGGTGACGAATATATGCATTTTGGTCTGGGTGCTTAATGAAGAGGCCGCTAATAAGCCCTGCCTGTTTTGCCTCCATGCTGGGGGTTGTGGTGCGGGGGCTCCGGCGGTGATGGAGCCCATCTGTGGCACCCCCGGGGCTGCAGCTGCACGGGCTGGGGCCGAGGGCAGCGGGGTGCAGCCTGGGGCCCCCCTCCAGCCCTTCCTCCCTCGCTCCCACCCCTCCCCGCTCAGCATTGCATAATTTCCCCGCGGCGCTCGTTTGCGTGCAAACATAATCAGGAAAATATTGTAGCTCCTTTCCAAGCGCTAAGTGATACAGCCTTCCTGAAAAGACCGGTGCTGTCTGTTTGTCCTCCGTCAGGCTGATCCCGCCAGCTGCACGCAACAGCCGGACCCCGGGGCGCCCCTCATCCCCTGCCGACCGGGAGCAGGTTGTGGGCATGAGGATCAACTCCCCGCTCCAACACCGGCATCCAGTATGGCCGTGGGCACAGCTTAGCCTTTTGTGTCTGCTCTTAAATCTCCTCTGGTTTCAGGGCGGTGGGTTTGTATCAAAGAGGGGATTTGGAGGCAAAATGGGGAGTAATGCTGTCAGCCGGTCAGGCATCCCTTTAAAAATAGGGTTCTGTTTATGCTAAAGCGGGTGCTAGTCTGCACCAAACAATAGCCGCCCCGGCTATAATTATCAAGGTTTATTTCTTGTTTGCATTGGTCACGTTTTCTCGCGTTTGATCTTGAGAAACGCAGGATCCGTGGAGTTCAGGTCTGGGGTCAGGCTTTGAAAACAAACCCTCTCGCAGCGATGCATCGAATGCATAGGCTGGGCTCTTTAAAGAAATATACTGTGCTGCCTATGTCAACAAGCAGCGGCGGGCTGGGGCGGGCGGGCTGCTGCGACCACCGCGTGCCCCTTCCCCGCGGGACGCCGGAGCGGGACCTTCGCGAGGCACGCTCTGTGCTTTCGGGTTTGTTTTCTTTCGGGGGGAGCGGAGGAATGCTGAGACCAGAGTGGAAAAAAAAAAAAAATAATGTACATGTGAGCACTCAGCCAGGGGAAAAAAAAGAAAAAATCTTGTTCTGCTTTGCTGGAGAGGTGTTGAGTGATGCTGGAGAGTGTTTGCCGGGAGATGAATGGTGGCGTTTCCCTCCGGTTGTGCGGGGCTCGTTCCGGTGCTGAGGGATCCACGGGGCATGGCCACCCTGCTGCTGGTCCATGAGGTGCAGGCTGACACTCCCAGCACATTCATCTTCCCCAGCCCCAAAAGGCCATTGGAGTGGCAGAACAGTCCTGGTAAGCATTAACTGGGCATCGACCTTCTTAAATCAATGTCTGCTCTGCCGCTGCTTTGATGCTCTCCCAGCCTTGGGAGAGGTGAGCACAAGGTGACCTTGCCTCTGGCCAGGGCTCTGCCCTCAACCAAGGAGGTGCTGCTTGCACAGGAGGCACCTGAGGGTCCCAACAGGTCTCTGGCTCCCTGGGGAGAGCTGGGAGGGTGACACTTCTTGGTACACCTTATTCCCCCAAAAGCATCCTTGGAGCCATGCTCGAGGTCTGGCAGGCCCCAGTGGGACAGCCTGCAGGGGCACATAGATCTTTTTTTTTTTAATTTAAAAAAGTCTATTTATCTTTTTCTTCTCCCCTCCTCCACTTTGTGTCAATACCCCAGGTATAGATTAACTCCCTTTGCTTAATATTTAATGTTTTGATTCCTGGGAAATGGAGCTGCAAGCACTCAGAGAAGTGGCTTGAGGAGCTGGTCTGGTTTGGCTCCAGCTCCTCTGAGTGGATCTGTGTGTTCCCTGCATGAATTTGGGGAGCAGCTTCCCCCCTTTAGTCCAACTCCAGACATTAAGGCTGCTGCAACTCCCTGTGCTAGGAAAGCTGGACTGGTGCATGGACCACAGCCCTTGACTTATCATATCCTGAGGCCAAGGCATGGCTGATGCCACCTTTATTCCTGGATTCCCATCTGTTTTGGGGGGGAGTTTCTTTGTGAGCACTGATTTCACATCCTTAGGACAGATGAGCACAGCTGGAAAAGGCTGTTTTTAATCCAGCGTTTGTAATGGAGGCTTGGTAAGAACTGGTGAGTTTGTTTCTTGGAGAAAATAAAGCATTTCAGTGCTAACAGTCTTATGAAATATGGGAAGGAGAAGCCAGGGACTCCTCTCTGGGCTGAAGAAGAATCTCAGGGTGGGTGTGCATGGCTGGAGCTCGATGAGCTGTGAAGAGAAGCCCCAAGATGAGGGTAAATCACAGAATGCTTTGGGTTTAAGGGACCTTGAAGACCATCCAGTCCAGTTCCACCCCCTGCCATGGGCAGGGACACCTCCCACTAGCCCAGGTTGCTCCAAGCCCTGTCCAACCTGGACTTGGACACTTCCAGGGATGAGGCAGCCACAGCTGCTCTGGGCAACCTGTGCCAGGGCCTCCCTACCCTCACAGCCAACAATTCCTTCCCAATATCCCATCTAACCCTGCCCTCTGACAGTCTGAAGCCATTCCCCCTTTTCCTGTCGCTCCAGGCCCTTGTCCAAAGTCCCTCTCCAGTGGGCTCTGAGGTCTCCCCACTCCAGGTGAACACCTCCAGCTCTCCCAGCCTATCTCCAGAGCAAGATGTGCTCCGGCCTCTGAGCATCTTTGTGGCCTGCTCTGGACTTGCTCCTGCAGCTCCATGTCCTTCTTATGTTGGTGAGCTGGATGCAGCACTCAGCAGGGAAGGAGGTCTCACCAGAGCAGAGGGGGAGAATTCCTTCCCTCAACCTGCTGGTCATGCTGATCCTGATTGCAAGAGCTAATTCTTGGAAATGATCCCAACAAAGTTGTCATGGGGGTCATTGCCCCAGTGCTGGTGGAGGCTCCCGTCTCCTGAAGGTCACACTGTGGTTGTCACCTTCTTACCCAAATCCGCAGGATTTGGAGCTTTTATTAATTGCAGGGGAGCTGTGCTGGCCCCGTTTCACAGATGTATTGTCTGATGGTGCTGTGAACCTCAGCATTCCTGGGGGCTTTCCCATGTCCATCCGGGTTTCCAGCCCTCCTCCTAACCCCGTGGAGGGATGCACTGACACAAACAATATTTACATAGCCCTGATGGGGATGTAAATACAGCAAAAAGAGATAAAAAAGATGTTTTTATTACCCAGCCCTGCTAGCTGGGGAGTACAAAGGGCACCACAGAGCAGTCTCAGCTTTACTGGAGGTTTCCCATGGTGGGATGCCAGTGTGGCAGCACCAGGATCTTCCTCAGCTCAACTCCCTCTGGTTTGGGAGCTGGAGGGAAACAGGGGTGAATTTGAGAGGAACTGGGTTTTTGTTGCCTGAGCTGATTGCAAGGTGCTGTGTCAGATAAAGCAGCCTGAAAAGCAAACAAAGCCCAGTCATGTTGTTAAACCTGGTTCTTGGGGCTGTCGGGAGCGATTAAGGTTATTAGGAGGCCGGAGTGCTGTTTCTAAGGGAG